TCTCTTTCCTTTTTAAATATTAAAAGAGGAGATTTTGCTGCATATAATCACTAACTACACGCGCCAATGCCAATGTGACGCATTCGCCCCACTGAATATTGTCGGGTGTCACACCGATACACTAACCCTCTCACAAATTTGCCCTACAAAAGATGGCGGCCAGTCCCGACCATTTCAAAAAAGTTGCCTCAGTTCTCTCAACGGCAGGGTACTGGAAGCTAGCGGTCTAGTTGTATATAGAAGTCTGTGGTCTCCAATAAGTGGTCTGTGGTCTAGTGTATGTCCATGGCATCTCCCCACTCGCCTGCGTGAAGTTGGCCAGCCAACTTTTATTTTTTAAACCTTTTTTTTATTCCGATCGTTTGATAGTAGTTTAATAGTGTTTGATAGTCTTGTAAAAACGTTTGATAGTCATTAGTCTTTTCATAAAATCAAAATCTGGTGTGAAGTTGGCCGGCACTTTTTTGTTTCTAATCAGATTTTGTTTTTCCGGAGCTCAATCGATGCAAAATCGTTTGATAGTTACGAATTGACTAATAAAAACGTTTGATAATCCATTGTTTGCAAGAAAAATGAGAAAAACAATATGCGAATCAAGGATCCCAATCGATTCCTGGATCAGTGTGTCCGTTGAATTAGACTATATTGCAAACTTTTTTTACTTCCAATCGTTTTATAGGATGGACAAAACGTTTAATAATCAATAGTTTTTTTAGAAGAGCCAAATCGATGTACGACGTGAAGTTGACTGTCGTTTCCTTGCTTCTTGTCCAGAATCAGCTTTTTTCAAGACACGTAATAGGTCAGGTTTTAGGCATTTCTATAATTACATAATAGTCGTAAGTCAGCAATTGTTGTCATAAGTTATTTTTATGAGCCACCAGAACTATGCTTTCTGATGATTCTTTAGTAGGTAAACAGGAACACACTCATAATACTGTAAGCTTATATCGGAACATATGCATGGACGCCTATATGACGTCAGCTGTGATGGCCTTTCAGAATGGCTCAGTAGAAGCCTATAAACAATGCATAGTTGTCACCGTATGGCAAACTCGTGCATACAATATTACTTGTATAGCAGTGCGGGGATCGGTTAAAACGGTATTCAGCCACGTTTTAACCAATCAGCGTCTGCTGACAACTATACAACCGTGTATGCGTGGGTTTACACCATTACATCATGATAAACTATTGACTATCAATCGTTTTGTCTATCCTTTAAAACAATTGGAAGTAAAAAAAGTTTGCAATATAGTCTAATTCAACGAACACACCGATCGAGGAATCAATTGGGATCCTTGATTCGCGTATGGTTTTTCTCATTTTTCTTGCAAACGATGGACTATCAAACGTTTTTATTAATTAATTCACAACTATCAAACGATTTCGCATCGATTGAGCCGTGGAAAAGCTATAAGTCCATTCGTGAAAGCATTTTCACGTGCGCCGGAGCACTATAGTTGTGTTCGAAAATGAGCCGAGAGCGGGGAGCGCATCGTTGTTTCTCTGTTCATTGCATGCATTTGATCGTGACACTGATATTTGAAAAAAACTATTGACTATCAAACGTTTTTACAAGACTGTCAAACACTATCGAACGACTATAAAACGATTGGAAGTAGAAAAAGTTTGTTATATTGTCTAACGGCCAATTTCTTCACCTTCGGATAAAATTTATCCTCCGAATAAATCCCCAGCTAACTAATCATTTTTAAGTTTTAGAAGTTTATCCGCAGGATAAATTTTATCCGAAGGTGAAGAAATTGGCCATAAGTCAATGGACACACCGATCGAGGAATCGATTGTATCGTATTGATTGGGATCCTTGATTCGCGTATGTTTTTTTCATTTTTATCAAACGATTTTGCATCGATTCAGCTCCGGAAAAACAAAATCCGGTTAGAAACAAAAAAAGTGCCGGCCAACTTCACACCAGATTTCGATTTTGATGTTCTGAAAAGACTAATGATTATCAAACGTTTTTACAAGACTATCAAACACTATCAAACTACTATCAAACAGCCGGAATAAAAAAAAGTTTAAAAAATAAAAGTTAGCCGGCCAACTTCACGCAGGTTCCCCACTCATCTCTGGTTAAACTCATCTCTGGTTTAACCAGAGATGAGTGGGGAGATGCACAACGCTCCGGTTTTAGGCGATACCAAAAGCATGGCGCTAAATCGTAGCGGCGAGTCCGGGAGTAGGATTTCGTGATCATCGCCTCTGTCGATGTTACAGATTTCGCGTAGCCGCGCGGGTCATGATCATCGTTCCAGCTGATATTGCAGTCAGCGAAAATGAATGGATTGCTCGGTGGTGGGGAAAAAGTTGCCGCCCCTCACAAACCGTTCTTGACAAACAGGCGGGGCAGCAAGGTCTTCCATCCAACCGAACCCTAAATATTTGTATGGACGTAATGCGCTAACAAATGTGTATATTCAGCA